TGTTTCAAATTTTATCCTACCCGGGATGTTTACTAGACTCTTGTTCGGACAGATTTCACTGAGTTATTCCTAAAAATTACAGGCCTACAATAAAAAAAAATACATATTTCCATGCAAAAAAAATATACCGCTTTGAGCACAGAAATACTGACATAATCAGACCGCTAGGGAGGTTAAGCAATGGAACATAAAAAAACACTTGAGCCTGTGGCTTGGAGGAAGCGCCTGGGCCAGGGGGACGGCCCGTCCGCTTGGGGATGATGTGCAGTGGTGATGAATGGAGTTGAGCCTGTCAGATGCAGGGACCACGTGATCGCAGCGTCCTGTGATGATGTCACACCGCGATAGCCAGGAGGCAGAGGGAAAGGCCAGCGTACTACCGCAAGCAGAGGAGGTATGGCCGGTTACCAGGACGACATGCTTCGCACACATGTGCTTTCTTAAGTCCGCTCTCAAATCATCCCCGACGGGCCGTCCACCTGACCCAGGCACTTCCTCCAAGCCATAGGCTCAAGTGTTTTTATGTTCCATTGCTAATTCCAATAAAGCCCATCCTCCCCTCCTGAAGATTCCTGGGATGTATTCTTATTATTATACAGTATTTATAAAGCGCCAATAGTTCGCTCAGCGCTGTACATTTACAAAGGGCGGGACAGAACATGTGACAGAACAATACCAATACATGCAAAACATGAGGGGATCGAGGGCCCTGCTCTTTGACATTGTTTGCCTAAGCCAGAAATTAGGATGTAACTGAAGAAATGTTAAAACAAGTAAAAAAAAAGATACACTTTCCAATCTAGTTACTAATGCTAACAGCATAAGGATTGATAATAGTCCGTGTTTGACTGAGAGAGAAGTTCTTTGCTTTAAGAATATCTCATCTGCATTACAAATAGGAAATAAGGAGAGGATGCCAGATCACTAAATATGGATGCGCTGCATGGAGTATTTTATGTGACATATATGGGTGAAGCCCTGGGCACCGTACAGTGCTTAGAAAGGGAAGGGCGGGCACCATCAAAGCCAAGTATTTACTGGATGGGTACCGATGGACAAATATGGCTGCTCATGATTGGGTTGTGGCCAGATAATATAAAAAGGATAAACATGCAATAAAACAAGGTTTTCTAAAACATCAACACAAACCTAGAACATTATTTCCATCACAAAACGATCTTTTGAAGAAAGCATCCTGCACAGGGGAGTATAGCTCAGGGTCTGGTGTTTAGCTGGCAGGCTGGGGAGAGGGCACAGGCGCACCGAATCAAGCTCGCTGCCAGGCAGCCTGTCAAAGTCTATGAGAGTCTGCCAGCTTCTGAGGCTGGGGATGGTGTACCGACGAGGGTGCTACTAATGTTTAGGGCAAATGCGCCCAGGGAGGGCTGAAAGAGGGGGGTTGTGAGCATTAGTCCCCTGGCACAGACGACTGTCTAACAAACTTCGTACCGTTGGGTGTTCTGTCTAGCCTCAGAAGCGGGGCTCATAGAGGCTACAAGGAAGTGAGGGCTGGATGGTGGAAAGGGGTACGCCCACCAGCCACAGATGGAATGCTGGAGACATGAGAAAGAAGGAACGAAAGAAAGGGGAAAGTTATAGAACAAAAGAAAGGAGAGAAAGCAAGCAGCAGGGGCAAGAGGGGGGGGAGGGGGCGGGAAAGAAAAAGTGAGAGATGAGAGAGAACGGGGGAGGGAGAAAGAGAAAAAAAAAGAGGGGGGGGAGGGAGAGAGAGAAAAAGAGGGGGGGAAGGGGGAGAGCCCATGGGGAAAAAGAGGGGGGAGAGAAGGGGAGAAGAGGGGAGAGAGAGAAAAAAAGAGGGGAGGGGGAGAGGGAGAACGAGGGAGAGGGAGAGAGAGAAAAAAAGAGGAGGGGGGGGGAGACGAGGGGAGAAAAAAAAGAGGGGGGGGGGAGAGGAGGACGGAGGAGGGGAGAGAGGAAAAAGAGGGGGGGGAGAGGACGAGGGGGGCGGAGAGAGAGAGAAAAAGAGGGGGGGAGGGGGAGAGGGAGAGACAAAGAGGGGGGCGGGGGGAGAGACAAGAAAAAGGGGGGGGGGGGAGAGAGCAAAGAGGGGGGGGGAGTTGGGAGAGAGGGAGAGGACAAGAGAGGGAGGGGAGAGGGAGAGACAAAGAGGGGGGGAGGGGATGTGGCGAGAGAGGGGAGAGAGAGAGAAAAATGGGGGGGAGAGAGAAAAGAGAGGGGGGGGGAGAGAAAAAGAGGGGGGGGACGAGAGAAAAAGAGGGGGGGGGTGAGGAGAAGAAAAAGGCCCTGGGGGAGGGGGGGAGAGAAAAAAAGAGGGGGGGAGAGAAAAAAACGGGGGGGGGGGGGGAGAAAAAAAGGGGGGGGAAGGAGAAAACAGAGGGGGGAGGAGCGAAAAAGAGGGGGGAGAGAAAAAAGAGGGGGGAGGGGGGGGGGAGAAAAAGAGGGGGGGCGGGGGGGGGAGAGAAATAGAGGGGGGGGAGGGGGGAGAAAAAGAGGGGGGAGGTGAAGGGGAGAAAAAGCCGGGCTGGGGGGGAGAAGGGAGAAAAGAGGGGGGAGGGGGGTGCTCTCTAAAAGAGGGGGGAGGGGGGAGAGAGAGAAAAAGAGGGGGGAGGGGGGAGGCGCGGAGAGGAGAGAAAAAGAGGGGGGACTGGGGGAGAAGAGAGACAAAAAGATGGGGGGAGGGGGGGAGAGAGTGAGAAACCGCCTGAGGGGGGAGGGGGAGATGAGAGAAAAGAGGAGTGGCCGGGAGGGGCAGCCACGGGGGAGAGAGAGAAAAAGAGGGGGCGGGGCGGAGAGAGATGCAAAAACCCCGAGAGGGCGAGGGGGGAGAGAGAGAAAAAGAGAGATGGGGGGGTAAAGGAGAGAGCCCCCTCGTCGGGGAGTCCCCCTCCTCTTTTTGTTGGCTCTCTCGGAGAGAGAGACGAGGGGGAGGGGGGAGAGAGAAAAGCGAGGCCCCGGGGAGAGAGAGAAAAGAGAGAGGGGGGGGGAGGGAGAGGAAAAAGAGAGGGGGGGGGGGTGGGAGAGAGAGAAAAAGGGGAAAAGGGAAATAGGGAGAGAGAGAAGGTCATCATATCTCTTCACTCTGTACATCCGTCATGAGGTCTTGGAGCGAGGAGCGGGTGATGGAATTACTATCACAGACATGTAAAGCTGAGGGCACAAATATTCATTCCCTGGGTTTAAAATGACGGTAAATGATCTCTCCCGTATGGAAACGAAATGGGGAAAGAGTTAACCAAAGAATCGGTGTCACAAATTGTGAAGAGGAACAAGCCTACTACTTTACAGAACACACAAAGCAAGTGCAGAAGAAAAAAGAAACAATGACCGGCCAGAGAGGACAACCTCGAAATAGAAGCCCAACAACATGACTGAAACACTGAAGAGACAAATGTATTTTCTTAGTCCTGCTGATCCGGATGGAAATCTGTTGTCATGTAACTTCCTGCATATTGAACTAAAATCTTAAACCGTGTTATCTGCCTTTCCAGCCATCTCTTGTAAACTACTACAAACACGCCTTCTCTATGAGACAGAGATGAGAAGATGGGGAGATGTTTGTAAACCAAATTAGAGGGCAGCCTGGGGCGACAACACTGTTCCTGCATTGATAAAGTGACTGAGCGTTGTCATGTTCTGGTGAGCATCTACAGAAGATGCCACACTGTCAGTAGCAGGCGCAGTACATCTGAAGGTGGACACAGCTGGCGCCTCTTAGGCCTCGTTCACACCATGTTGCAGAGATGTGCGTTTTCTGCATGCGATCTGCAAGGGTACAAAGAAATCAAGTGTTCTCTGTGTGCCCTGTTCACACCACAAACATTGGTACCGCGTGTGGATTGTTTTCTGTGCAGGAATCTGCAAGTGTATAAAAACTCATTGCAGAAGGGGCGGACTGACAACTCATGGGGTTCCCGGGCAGTTTTCTCATGGGGCATGTCTTCGCCCAAACTCAAATCACACCCAAAAAAGCCTATGAAAGGTACCAGGGAATCTCATGGGGCCCCCTACTGACCCCGGGCCCTCAGGCAGGGCCCGAGTTCCCCAATGGTCAGTCCGCCCGTGTGCAGAACTGATGTGAAATCTGCACGTTCTCTTCCATCCGTTTTTCTGCATGTATGGTGTGAACACGGCCATAGGGGGGGACTGAATGTATCTTCCCACATGGGCATTGGACGATTACCTGATTAGAGTATCGCATACTGATATTCCTTTGGTGCTGACGGGGAACGTAGCGATGTAAGGGATCGATGTCCTTTGGACTTACAAGTTCTTCCACTACAAAATAAAAAAAAAGAAAAAATTAAATAACAATTGAGTTAGTACCACGTATGTAACTATGTATCATATTTTGATAAACCTTTTCCTTCACTTATACCTAGAAACCCACGCACAAAAAGGCAAAATAAAAAAATATAAAATAAAAATGTAAATAAATAACTCGATAAACAAACAATAAATACATTCCAAAAACAGATATCCAGAAATTAGTCCAAACTAAATATCCAAAAATAGCGTCCGAAATTAGTATCCAAATGTAAATAAATAGTCCACCAAAATATCTCGATCCAGTGTATCCAACTTTAATTCTCCATTCCGGACCGCGTGATACCTCGAAAAAATATAACTATAATAGTGTATTACCTTCAAAACATCACATAAATGTATATACCTTTAACCGCCTCCCATCCACCATATATTACAATGACGGACGCAAGGCGGTTCTCTCGTTCTGGGAGGAAGTCATATGACGTCCTCCCATTCTCACCGCGCATACGTGGCTCCGGGAGCGCGTAGTGCGGCGATCGGCGGTGTGCTGTGTCCCTCGGACACAGCAGATGATCGGTCCACGGAAAGAGCCGAAGATGTCGGCTCGGTCATGTGATCGTGTGTCCAATGTAAACAGGGAAATGCCGGTTATCGGCATTTCTCTCCTCATGAGCTGTCACGCTGACAGAGGAGAGGAGAGCTGGTAATCGCCATTCCCCGGAGGGGACATGTACACTGACGATCTGTGTAACCCCAGCAGTGCCACCTGTTAGTGTTCATCAGTTCCAGCTCTCAGTGCTCATCCATGCCACCTGCCAGTGCCCATCAGTGCCACATCAATGCCACATATCAGTGCCTACCAGTGCACATCAATGCCACATATCAGTGCCTACCAGTGCACATCAATGCCACATATCAGTGCCTACCAGTGCACATCAATGCCACATATCAGTGCCTACCAGTGCACATCAATGCCACATATCAGTGCCTACCAGTGCACATCAATGCCACATATCAGTGCCCATCTGAGCTGCCTTCCAGTGTCACCCGTCAGTGCCACCTATCAGTGCCGCCTATCAGTGCCATATATCAGTGCTGCCTTTCAGTGCCCATCAGTGATGCCTGTCAATGCCACCTATCAGTACCCATCACTGCAGCCTCATTAGCGCACATCAGTGAAGGAGAAAAATCACTTATTTACAAAATTTTATAACAAAAACTTAGAAAAAAACTTTTTTTTTTTTTTTTTTTAAACTTTTCAGTGGTTTTTGGTTTAAGAAAAAATAAAAATCCCAGAGGAGATTAAATACCACCAAAATAAAGCTCCATCTGTCACAAAAAAATGATACAAATTTCAAATGGGTACAGTGTTGCATGACCACGCAATTGTCAAAGTGTGACAGCGCTGAGAGCTGGAAACTGGCCTGGACTGGAAGGAGGTATAAGTGCCCGGCAGGCGAGGGGTTAAACAAATGAGTATATACTATATTAGTGCAAAATAAATATATGCGTGCACAAAAATATATATAACCAGATCCCACTGTAACACGTGAATCATGTGAAAATCACTCTGTGTACACGCCAATAAAAAGTGAAAAATTGTGTACACTCAAAACAAACACAAAAGAAAAAATGTTTGCTTTCAAGGGTGAAAGTGTGACTTTTCTTGGGGGTGGTTGTATTGGGAGTTCCATCATTTTTATTTTAGGGTGGAGGTTGCCGAGTAATTGTTTTATGTATCATATTTATTTACATTTTGTAAAACTTGGAAACTCTGGCTTGTCGTGAGGTTTGAATTGAGTAAAACTACCAGAAACCGGTTCAAAATCAACTTGTGGCCATGTTAAAGTGGTTGTAAAGCCTTCCATATCCCCAGCGAAGTGACCGGCTTCAGCTGATACGCAGAGATGAAACAAATTCTCTTACATAAGTTGTACCTGTGTATCTGCAGCTGTCTTTCCCCTACAGACTTTCAAAGTCCAGAATTTACACAGCATCTCTAAGCTCTGAAAAGCAGGCGGGGGGCAAGAGCTAAAGATACATCAGTGAAGAGAGCAGCTTCATGCAGCACATGTTTTAACCTCTTGGCGCCGGCTGCACGCAAATGCCCGGTGTCTGGGCCTTGACGCCGAGAGGCCGCACATTTGTGTGCAATTAAGAAAAACACGTGCTGAAAGCGTGCGCCTTGCGCACTCCCAGCACACGTCTGGTACTCACAGAAAGGTCCCAATCTCCTCTTACGATCAGGACCTTTCCCGATCATGTGACCGCCCCGCCTCCCGGCTTCTTAAACCCTTAAAGGGCCGGGAGATGCTGGCGCCAAGGGGTTAAGGAGGGTGTACTGTTATGTAAGGGTGGATGGAGGACTCTTGACATGTCATGTAAGGAAGGGGGGGTGGGGGGTGCTCTGGAAATCTAGTCTTACAGTTACAACCAGCCCAATGCAACCATAATTCTAATGTGGCCCTCAATGAAGTTCGACACCCTTGCCATAGACCAGGGGTCTCAAACTCCATTTAATTGCGGGCCGTATCAGCATTATGGTTACCCTCAAAGGGCCGGTGTCAAACTCCATTTCATTGCGGGCGTATCAGCATTATGGCTGCCCTCAAAGGGCCGGTGTCAAACTCCATTTCATTGCGGGCCGTATCAGCATTATGGCTGCCCTCAAAGGGCCGGTGTCAAACTCCATTTCATTGCGGGCCGTATCAGCATTATGGCTGCCCTCAAAGGGCCGGTGTCAAACTCCATTTCATTGCGGGCCGTATCAGCATTATGGCTGCCCTCAAAGGGCCGGTGTCAAACTCCATTTCATTGCGGGCCGTATCAGCATTATGGTTGCCCTCAAAGGGCCGGTGTCAAAGTCCATTTCATCGTGGGCCGTATCAGCATTATGGTTGCCCTCAAAGTGCCGGTGTCAAAGTCCATTTCATCGTGGGCTGTATCAGCATTATGGTTGCCCTCAAAGGGCTTGTGTCAAACTCCATTTCATCACAGGCCGTATCAGCATTATGGTGGCCCTCAAAGGGCCGGTTGTATCTGTAAGACTAGATGTCCAAAGCACCCCCACCCCCCCCTTACATCAGATGTCAAGATTATCACACCCTCCTTAATATCGCCGTGGACCCCCTTTGGGATCAGAGCTGGAAAGCAGAAAGTGCAGGGTCTGAAGGAGGACCAGAGGAGGAGTGTAGCCAGTTACCAGAGACTGCTGAGTGCTGAGATGAGGGGGTGCTGCAGCTGCACTGAGAGGTCCAGGATTTGGCAGAGGAGTTCTAGTCTTCTCTCTGTTGCCGACTCCTGAGACAAGGTGGGATCGGAGACAAGGGGGTACTGGCTGGAGACGTGCAAGGGCCACATGAAAAAGCCTGGACGGCCGGATTGGGCCCACGGGCCTTGTGTTTGACACCTGTGCCATAGACGATTATCACATTGATGCAGCCAACAAGTACCTGGCACAACCTAAATGACGGCCCTGGCCAACACTTCAACTGAAGGTCAGAGACCCAACACCAGTTTTTTCTTTACCACCAACAACTCTACTCTCCCCCGTTCCTCGTATGCCGTTCTTGTCCTCCGGCAGCGAAAGCTCTCCCGCACACCCGTCACAGCGCGATGAAACCTCAGCACACCTTGCAAGGACAATAAATCCCGAGGAGGCCCGCAAGGCTTCAGAGAGAATATTCTAGAACAATGCGCACAAATGTGACTTCTCCCTTTTAGTTTAAATGAGCGCCAAGAAACACAATTACTGCAGTCTTTCATTTGTGAAATCAAAAGGATGAGTCACAGGGCTATAAAACAGGGAATCCGGCACATCGCAGCGTTCTGCAGGAGGAGCATGCTGTGCACAAACACACAGGACGGCCATTTACAGGCAATCTTATAGAGAGAACTAATGGGCTGCGCCATGCTTCAGGTTGCCCCCTGGAGCACACAGCTCGCATGATATGCCTTACAAAGAAAGATGAAAGATGATCGCGCACTGCGCAAAAGGTTAGCTCTTTCTTTCTTGCAATTTCTAAAAAAACAGGAGCACAAGATGCTGGCGCCTGCGGGCTTAAAGAAAACCTGTCACAAATACAGGTACTTCAATTTAGGATGATTAACCCCTTCCTGTCTCCAGCAGTCCCCTAAGGGAGTGGTAACACCAGGAGGCAGATTTCTGATCACATGATCACTGTGACTGACTTTTCACAGCAGTCACATGATAAAGAGCTTATCTTGATCACATGATCGCTTAGATTGATCAGGAGCCTATTTTTGATCACAGCAGTCACATGATCAGGAGCCTATCTTTCTGATCACATGATCATTGTGACTAATTTTTCCCAGCAGTCACATGATCAGGAGCCGATCACATGATCGCAGTGACTGACTTTTCACAGCAGTCATATGATCTGGAGCCCATCCTTCTGATCACATGATCGCTGTGATTGACTTTTGACAGCAGTCACATGATCAGGAACCTATCTTTCTGATCACATGATCACTGTGACTAATTTTTCCCAGCAGTCACATGATCAGGAACCGATCACATGATCAAAATGACTGACTTTTCACAGCAGTCGCATGATCAGGAGCCCATCCTTCTGATCACATGATCGCAGTGACTGACTTTTCACGTGACCAGGAGACCATCTTGCTGATGACATGATTGCTTTGATTGATTTTTCACTACAGTCACATGATCAGCAGCCCATCCTTCTGATCACATTGATTGACTTTTCACAGCAGTCACATGATCAGTAGCCTATCCTTCTGAACACGATTGCTTTTTCACAACGTTCACATGATCAGCAGCCCACCCTTCTGATCGCATTGATTGACTTTTCACAGCAGTCACATGATCAGGAGCCATCCTTCTGATCACATGATCGCTTTGATTTCTTTTTCACAGCAGTCACATGATCAGGAGCCCATGCTTTGGATCACATGATCGCAGTGACTGACTTTTCATAGCAGTCACATGATCAGGAGCCTTTATGATCACATGATCGCAGTGACTGACTTTTCTCAGCAGTCACATGATCAGGAGCTCATCCTTCTGATTACATGGTCACAGTGACTGACTTTTCACAGCAGTCCACCTTGACCCAGGTCGCCCCTCATCCATTGTGATCATCTATTGACTCTTTTATGCAATAAAGGTACACCTCCCAGTGAGGTGATACACTATTTACTCTCGCAGCGCTGATTCCTTTGAGGTTCCTAGTTCGGATACACCTTTTCCAGGACCTGATTGGATGGTCTTTGTATCCCAATGGATGCAAATAGATCCTGCTGTTTGTTTACGTCTGCTTACCTCCAATCTGAGCAGCAAAAGAAAGAAAAAAAAGGAGATCTACACGGAGATTACACTCAGTTCTCAGTTTTATGTTGTGCCAGATCCCCACCCCCTGGTTTATGGTAATGCTGTGTAAACTGTGCACATGAATGGCTGTAGCAAAGAGAGCTACAGATAAACAGGTACAACTTATGAGTAGGATTTGTTTAATCTCTGTGTATGGCCCGAGCACAGTCACTTCATTGGGTATATGCAAGGGTTTACAACCACTTTTAGTGAGAGCAGTTGTGTATTTAGGTTTTGTGCTGCCCTAGGCAACACAAAAATTGTCTGCCCCCACGGACACCGACCAATCCCCCCCTTCCCCCTCCCCCTGCGAAGAGAGCCTGACATTGACCAACAACACCCCTGCCCCCCACCTGGGAGAGCCTGCCACTACCAACACCCTCCCCCCATCGATAGAGACACACTCATCTTCACAGCTCCAGACATCCCTGGGAATGAGAGTCAGTCTCTACATACGCCATCAAGCAGCCCACAGCCTCTCTCGGATCCCACCTGGTTCCCACGGTGTGCGTATCCCTTCTTTCATCCCTTCTTCTGGGAGGAGGTGCTGCCCCCCTAAAAAATGCCACCCTAGGCAAGTGCCTTGTGGTAAATACACCCCTGAGTGAGAGGCTTGGTGCCCAGAGTTCACCTCTAAAGCTAGTGTACAATCCAAGCGCACACGTTCCAGCGTTAAAAATGGCGGTGTGTATAAGTGGGTGCTGCAGCGACCGTCGGCTGGAACCAAACAAAAAATCAGCAAGGAAAAATGTCACCAGCACACCGAGGATCACCAATACGGGTCCAAAGGTTTTAATGAA